TGTGTATAAAAGCTTCTCTCAAAGGTTAACTTAATGATATTTATCATAGTTCTTGTAGGGCTGCCATAACAAAATACCACAGACTGGGTGGCTTAAATTACAGAAATTAATTTTCTCACAGTTCTAAAGGCTGGAAAGTGCTGGCAGGTTTGGTTTCTTCTGAGACCGCTCTCCCTGGCTTGCAGATGGCCGCCTTCTCTCTGTGTTCTCACAGGACCTTTTCTCTGTGCGTGTGTGGGGAGAAAGAGCTCTGTTATCATTTCCTTCTCTTAAGAAAAGATACCAGTCCTATTGAGTTAGGACCCTATCTTTATGATCTCATTTAACCTTAATTACCTTTTTATTTTATTTTTATTTATTTATTTTTTTGGCTGTGCTGCGCAGCTTGTGGGATCTTAGTTCCCCGACCCGGAATTGCACCCAGGCTCCAGCAGTGAGCAAGTCCTAACCCTGGACCACCAGGGAATTCCCCTTAATTACCTTTTGAAAGCCCTGTTTACAAACATAGTTACATTGGTTAGGGGTTCAACATATGAATTTGGGTCAGAGACAATTCAGTCTGTAACAGTTGTGTGGGGAGACAAGAATTCTCCATGGGAACAAAAGCGGTGTGGCTTGACACATCTGATCCTGAAGGTCTTGTAGGCCAGAGTAAGGACTCCCTCCCTCACTCCTTCCTTTCTTTCTTTCTGTCACGGGAAGCTGTTGAAGGGTTTTGAGCAGTCAGTCACTCTCTGACTCTAGCCAGGTTACCATTTAAACACAGGGGAGCAGAGACTAGAGCAGAAACAGTAGTCAGGAGATAATTGTAATAATCCAGGCAAGAGATGATGTCTTATATCAAGGTGGGAGTGATAGAAGTGGTAAAAAGTTGTCAGAGGGCTTCCCTGGTGGCGCAGTGGTTCAGAGTCCGCCTGCCGATGCAGGGGACACGGGTTCGTGCCCCGGTCCGGGAAGATCCCACATGCCGCGGAGCGGCTGGGCCCGTGAGCCATGGCCGCTGAGCCTGCGCGTCCAGAGCCTGTGCTCAAAACAGTGAGAGGCCCGTGTACCGCAAAAAAAAAAAAAAAAAAGTTGTCAGATTCTAGATTTATTTTGAAGGTAAACTGGACAGAATTTGCTGATGGATTGCAGTGTGGGAAAAGAGAAGAGCAAAAGGATAGTTGCAAGATTTTTGCCTGAGTAAGAAGATTATGGGAAAGAGCAGGTTTGGGAGAGAAAATCAGTTTGTTTTGACTTTGTAGACATCTTAGTGACATCATACCATGCATTGTTTTATATTTTTAAATTTCAGATATAGCAGTAACATTCAACATCCTTACATTAAGTTCTAGGCACCATCCCATGTCAGCATTTATGATAATACTGCATTCATTTTAACAGTACCTTTAATTGTTGTATTTGAAAGACACAGGTGTGTGAGGTCCTGTTCTAGGCCCTTTTCAAATGAATAGTAACAATGGGTCAAAGGATATACACATTGCTTATTTTAATACATATCACCAACGTGACCTTCAAAAGAGTAATTCCAATTTATCCTCCAATGATGGCAATCATTTTTTCTTTCTTTTTTAAATTATTATTTTTTGGCTGCATTGGGTCTTTGTTGCTGCACGCGGGCTTTCTCTAGTTGCAGCGAGTGGGAGCTACTCTTTGTTGCGGTGCACAGGCTTCTCATTGCGGTGGCTTCTCTTGTTGTGGAGCATGGGCTGTAGGTGCACGGGCTTCGGTCGTTGTAGCACACGGGCTTAGCAGTTGTGGCTCGCGGGCTGTAGAGTGCAGGCTCAGTAGTTGTGGCACACGGGCTTAGTTGCTCCGCAGCATGTGGGATCTTCCCGGACCAGGGCTTGAACCAGTGTCCCCTGCATTGGCAGACAGATTTTTAACCATTGTGCCACCAGGGAAGCCCTATTTCTTTTTATAATTCTCCAATCTGGTAATATTTTTTGCTCATCTCCCTATACATTTTAATGATGAATCAATACAGCTTATTTGTTATGGTTCTGAATAGTCTGTTTAAATCCTGCACTGTATGTTGAATTTATAGGAGTTCTTGGAGAACATAAAGAATGATGAGTATTCAAGCCAAGGAAAGTGCTTGTGTGAATGGGTACACATTATGTTTGGACTGGGGTGAGGTTGGGCTGTATACACAGTAAATTCATCAGGTCATAACTCCTCCCCAAAGGTAACCACTATCCTGACTTCTAACACGTTAGATTAGTTTTAAATTAGTTATGTATGTATATGAACTTTGTATTCTTTTGCTTCTGCTTCTTTTCCTCAATATCCTGTTTGTGAGATTTGTCCATGATGTTGTATACAGCAATAATTTCCTCATTCTCATTATTATATAGTATTTCAGTGCATGAATATTTATCCATTTTGCTGTTGGTGGATATTTGGGTTGATTCCAGGTTGGGGCACAAAATAGTGCTGCTTTGAGTATTGTCTTAAATGCCTTTTGGTGGACACATAGACATATTTCATAGTAATGAACTTGTTTTGTCATAGGGTTGGCAAATATTAACTTTATTAAATCTTGCCAGTTTTCAAATTGGGTGTACCAATTTATACTCCCACCAGCAGTGTATAAAAGTTCCTTACCAGAACTTGATCCTTACCAACACTGTTTTTCATTTTAGCTATTCTGACAGGTATGTAGTAGTGTTGCATTTTGTTTTTTTACTTTTTTGTTTGTTTGTTTTTTTGCCACGCCACCTGGCTTATGGGATCTTAGTTCCCCGACCAGGGATCAAACCCGGGCCCTCGGCAGTGAGAGCACAGAGTTCTAACCATTAGACCACCTGGGAATTCCCACATTTTGGTTTTAATATGCATTTCATCATGATTAATAAAGTTGGGTACATATTTTACTTGGCAGTTTGATACATTTGAGTTTTGTAGTATCTGTGATTAGGTTCTTTCCAGACAGAGGGGTTTTTATTTCAAGTAATAAAGGAGTACTTGCTATACTTTTTTTCCCCAAAGTGAAATTTTAAAGTAGACTCCAATATATAAAACAAATTAAAAGAGTATCTCTTGAGAGGCAGAATACCATGGTAATTAAAAGCTGATTCTGGATCTAGTCTCTTCCATTAGGAATTGTAGTTTTGCCATTTACTAGCTTTGTGAATTTGGGCAAGTTACTTAACCCCTATTTACTTCAGTTTCGTTATCTCTGAAGTGAAATGTATTAAACTTTCATCATAAGGTTAATGTCAGGCTCAAGTTAGTTAATATAAAGTACGTAGAACAGTGCATGTTACATAACAAGTAATATATAATGTTAGCTGTTAGTAGTAGTGGTAGTGATGGTGATATAAATTTATCTTATGAATTTATACCAAGTTAGTTGACAAGAGTAATGGGGCTCTACTGTTGAGCACAAATTTGAAATTGAGGGTTATGGATGATAGTTGGAATTTTATTTTAGTCTCAGCCTCTAATTTTTTGTTTTGGTTGCACAATACCAGGAAAATTTTGATTCACACAGATGAGCAATTAAAAATACTTATGGTTCACTCAGTAGTTTTAGGATTATGCTTTTAGATTAATTTAATTGGTAAGTTGCTTGGATTTCCTGTTTTTAAATAAAAATCACAGAAGCTGCACTAAAATTTATTATGGTTTCAGTATCTGTTGTGTTATCACAAAACAGCTGCCTTATAGGTTTGCTTTTTATTGCTTTCAGCCACAAGATAAGATGAGCAGCCCACGTCCTCAAGCCTTGCCTGGCACAATAAAGTGTGACTCTATGGATACTGTAGTGTGTTTACTCACTGTTGCAAATTTAATGAGCCAACACATAGGCTTGATTAGAAACAAATCAAAAGTCAAAGCTACAGGTTTCCTAATTAATGGTATCTTTTCAGTATATTCAAACAAAGCTACACAAACCAAAAATGAGTTTACCAGGCAGCACAAGTTATGTGATATATGGTATCTGGTGTGTTAATATTAGGCATATGAAGACATTCATGCATGTGCTGTTATAGTTCATAGTAGTTACTTCTACAGCCAGCTGACACAGTCACTGACTGTCACTTAACAAACAGCCTTGCATGTTTATAGCTAGCTGACCCTTATACCAAGAGACCATTTACAACTGCTCTCATGCTTTCAGACAGACTTAAATGAGTATCTTGACAAGCTCCTTTAGCACCAGCTTTACTTCTCCCCAGCAGACTGTCTCCCACTGCTCCTTAGCCAGTATGGGCTCCTCCAGGCTGGCTGGTCTCCCCTCTTGCCACCTCCACGGTTTTGTGTTCCCTCCTCTGTGATAACAGTGCCTGCCTGCTCTATTGTCATTACTATCTATCTTGGGTACTGTAATTTCTTCGTGGTCCTGCTTGGATTCCATCTTCTCTCAGAATCACTCCTCTCTGATACCATTCTTTCCTGTGAAATCCTGTTCTGACATTCTGTATCTCAGGATCTTAAACCTTTTTTTTAAAGTATCAAAGTTGTGCTCCATGAGCCACGTAGTGGCTCACACAAACTCCATCAGCAGAGGGAGCTAAATAAAAGAAGATGAGTCCCTGAAATTAAGACCTGAAGTAGAGAAAGTACTTATAAATAGTGACATGTTCACATACTGCTCAGTAGTGAAAAAGAGCTGGAATAATATTAGAAATCAATGATTTGGACCCTAGTCCCAGGTTAAAACTTCTATGAGGAGATTTGTAAAGTGTTTTTCCAAGAGGTAATTCTATATCATGTTAAAAACCTACTTATATGGGGATGACCTGATAAACATATACATATTAGGAGAAGCAATCGGATGTTTAGTTTTTTTAAAAAATTCTGTTTATTCCCTCTCCAAAAGTTTTATTAAGGATGATGAAATGAGGTCACTAGCTTTGTGAAGAATTTCATATGGAGCAATGAGTCGTGAAGTTACAAGGATTATGGATAACCCATTCCAAGTTTTAAAGATAGAATTTTCAAGTAAATTTCTTATATTTTGTTTTGATTAAGTGTATGTATCTTAATTTCAGTTAGCAGACTTGAAGAAAGAGAAGCAGAACTGAAGAAGGAATATAATGCATTACATCAAAGACACACAGAGGTGGGTTTCTAGGTTGTTCTTACCATGCTAATATTGAGATACAGAAATTAACCTTAGAAAATGTGTCTTAATTTCTCTTTGAAAATCAGCTCTATAGTCCTTGGGGATTATTTTGAGAAGACTTTAAATTTCATGTAGCATGTACTTAGTTACCAAATGTTGACTTTTAACGTCCTTTATCTGGCATTAAGTTTTCATGTGGTGAATTAGTGTGCCACAGAATAATGTAATTATTAAGGCAGTTCCAATACTTGTGTCTTTGGCTGGTTAAGTAAAAACTTAATGTGTGCATAATGAAAAGTATACGTGATACTAATATGAGAGAATAGATATAATTTGTTTTGTTACCTGTTGGGAAATGATGGATTGGTAAATTGTTGGTCAGAGTCTCTACATTTATAATACAGTATAAAGGACTTATTTGCATCAAGCTCATAACAAATAACAAACAAATTATAATGTCTTAAAATGACTCTAAAACAGGTTTTCTGCATGAAATTTCAGTATTTTAGATGAACAACTGTAACACATAATCTCTTCAAAGCAATTTAGAAAATGTACTTGAGGGTTTTTTAACCTTTTTATGATTTTCTGTCAGCCTTTTATATGTTTCCTTTGTTTCTTTCTATCTCCTTAATGTGAAAATTGTTTCTGTGTATCATGGCCATTCTGGGGTTCACATAAATAGAATTTTCATAGATGCATGCACTGTTACCTGAAAAAAATAATTGCTCTCTTTCCC